CCCTCAACTACGTCAGGGCCAAGGAGTGACGGCCGAGCCACCAGCTGCACACCCTCACCCCTGGCATCGCGCGCCGATTTGGCGATTCCCAGCCTGGTGCCGCAAAAGAAAACCACCAACCCCACCTTTCGGTGACGTGAAACCACAGCCCGGGGTTGGTGAGAGGCGCCCCGATGCTGCTGCGGGGGCGAAGATGTGATTCCCTCTGAGGTTTGTGCCAGCGCCGGCTCTTCTCTTCCCTTTCGTGCCGTCGGAGCGGGCTGGCGACGCTGTGGGGCGGAGCCCCGTCCCTGCCTCCCCTCCGTCGGCGTCCAGGGAAGGCGGCTTCGCTGTTATAGCTCTTCAACTGCGTCACTTTAACTACGGGAGGGGAGAACGAGCGTCTCCGCTGCCTGTGGACACTTCCCTTAGTATCTCGTAGTAGTGGGCTCTGTTCAGCTTGGGTTTTGCTGCTCTGTGCCTCACACGGAGGGTTTTACTTTGGTTCTTTACTCCACTGAGCGGTCTTAAATATAAAAATCCCCCTGAAGAGTTAAGAAAAGACCCCAAATCCCCATGCGACCTTACCGGGAGCTTCGATGGGGGTTCCCGTGCTTTTGTTCGGCTTCGGCTGCCTCCCGGAGCATCCTCATCACGGCTCCTCGCCCGGGGAGGCTGGAAACGCCGCTGCTGCCACAAACAGGGTTAGAGCGGCAGCGCTGAACTGCACCAACGCCTTCAGCGGAGGCCACGGGCTGCCTTCGTCAAGTTCAGCCTAATTAGATGTCAGCCCTGCGCTTTCTGCTCGGCGGAGGCGGCGCTGATGGCTTTCGGGGCAGCTCCCCACTCTGCAGGCTGCGTTCAGGGGTTCAAACCCACCGCATCTCACCTCGCCCCAGTCACTGCATGAGAAACGTCCAGCTGGTGAGTGAATTCAACCCAACTTCAAGTGTTTTATTAAAGACAAAAGCAAGCGAGCGGCTCCGGCGTCTCTCTGGAGGCCTCTCCCTGCCTCCCGCGCCGTGAAATACTCCGTGTCCCACCCCCGGCTCCTCCACCCGCAGACAGGACGTGCCAATGCCTGGAAAAGTTCCTTTTTTAAGCATTATTCGGGTATAAAGGAAAGGTAGAAATCACCCACCTGTGCACCAGTGCAGCTCCGAGCTCCTTCCTCACCTCTTGGAAAAGAAACCCCTTCCCCTAAGCCCTACCCGCCCTGTTTTTGCAGGAATTCGAGATTCCAACCATGAGGAGTTCCCCAGGGGGGGATTTAACCCCCTTTGAGACGTGAACAGCGCAAGTTTGAGCATTTCTTTATTTTTACACTTAAATATTCTCTTTAAATACAGCATTGTCACCATGAAAAGAACATAAAAGGCGGGGGGGGGGGGGGGGGGGGAAACGGGACATCAACACCGGCAGCCGGGGTCCCACGCACCCCCTCTGTCTGTCCGTCCGTCCGTCCCTCCCTCCCTCC